ACAGTAGATTGTTGTTGTGTTGAAATCCCTGCGCATGCGCAGATCCATCCATGCTACATCTCGGAAGCTTTACCAGCCTCGCTGAGGCTGGTATTACTGAGACGTTCCGAGATTTTACAAGGATATTACACGGAGGTACTTTCACATGTGCCGTAAAATGTTACTTTTGGTTACATTTTGTTACATTTGGTAAGATTTTTGAATCGGGTATTAGGTATTTGAGAGCTGTTTGACCAAAAAAATTGGAAGAGCTAATAAAATAGAGGTTTTTAAATCATTAGAATTCAGTACAAAATTAAAATGTCTTGAAATTGAAAAAAAAAAATCAAATGTCTTAAAAATAAAAAATTGAAATTAAATACAAAGACGTGATTACATACATATTGCCATTACTATTTCGTACTCTATAGGACATGTCATATAGATGGCGTGGTCGGTTAACGATGTGTTCTATTGAACCAAATGTCGCGAGTTTGAATCCTTTAGAACCATCGCATGAAACTGTCGCATGGATGGCGCAGTCAGTGTAGCAACATGTTTCATAGTGGTAATGGCAGTACTGTACAGTTCTTGCTGAAACCCCTGATTTGTTTTGAGTGTATGGAGCACACTGGGTGCAACTTAAAAAGGGACATGAACGTTGGAATTCACCTATTTTATGTGTATAACATTTCCTGCATGTCTGCTGAATCAATCAGCCTAGTGTTTTTAGAGCTTCTCATTGGCGCTAATAATAATAATAAAAATAATTCGTCCGGCCACCCATACAATTAGCAGACATTGTCTTTTAGCAAAAACGATATATTAGCAAAAAATATCTATTTACTAACCAATCAGCAGGGTACTCCTACAGCTCCTCATCGAAGCTAAAAAAAAAAACTGATCTTGCATACAACAGTTTATTTTTTCTTTGTATTATTTTTTTTCATATTCAAATCAATTTAACCTAATCATAAGCAGACATACCAGGCTTACAGTATAGGTTCTTTGCCAACTATTCCCTTACTCTCCTTTCTTCATGTCTTAGTTTGGTTTCAATTAGTTTATTCAGTTTAGTTTATGTACAGCACTTTAAAGATTCTATAGCAATAGTCATAAATATGGATATTATTATTATTACTATTATAAATATTGTTATTAGTTGGACATTTTTATTATTATTATTATTATTATTATTATTATCAACATCTTGATTATTATTATTAACAGTGACCTTAGCTACTGAACCAGAGGGACACTACATAATGAACCTTAACTTTCCTGCCTACCTAAACAATTGTGCCTCTATCAATTGGTCTGGCAAACCATTGCGAACATACTAGTATACTCCAATGACCCATGTGCATCGCAAATTGAATTCCTTATATTTTTTATGTGTTTATTTTCATTCTTCACTTAGACATAAAGAAAAGAGAACTTACAGTAGAAAATTATGAGAGTGGTAAGTCTAATTCAATTGTACTAATCTTTAAAAATAATTATAATTTCTTCAAGTATTTTTTTTAGTTATCACTTTACTGTAATATAAAAGTAAACAGAGAAAACAAATCATCAAAATTCTCATTAAAACATTAGGTAATATGATTCATGAGACTAACCATATGAATCGTATCTCACATTCACCACAACACAAACACAATATATTGAACATTTTGAGATAGAAAAATATGTTTGGCGTTAAATTTGATATGACATGATTAATTTATAACGAAGAATATTTAATCTTATTTTATCGATCAATAGATGGCCACTGTACCACATGGGGTCAGGATCACTACAGAACATTTGATGGTAAAATGTACTCCTTCCATGGTTCCTGCAACTACCAGTTACTTGGGGATACCATGAATACTTTCAAGATATATATCAAGAATGATAAACACTGCACTCCATATAGACCTTGTGACAGATCTATAGACATCTACATCTCCAACAGCATTGTTTATACTCTAAAGAGGTTAGATGGTTCTCCAGTTGTCTACAAAGATTCCAAATTGCAAACACTTCCTATGGTCCTTAGTGGCCTAGAGATCGAGATGGTAGGCCTATCTACTAACATCATAGTTCACACACAATATGGCTTTGAACTACACTGGGATGGAGATGATAGTGTATCTGTTATTGCACAATCTGATTTGTTTAATAATACAAGGGGACTTTGTGGAACATACAATAACAATCCAGAAGATGATTTCATGTTGCATGATGGTACCATAACTACATCACCTGCATCATGTGGTTCTGACTACACCATGAATCCAGCAGGTAAATGTTTCTCTAAAAATAATTACAATTTTGCATAAAATTCTATTACAATGGAAGAAATAAAATAATAATAAATAAAATATTGTTATTTTTATGTCAAACTGTATTTAAAAAACTCACTATTTAAATTGTTTTCATAGTGCTATATCAACTGTAAATGATGTTTTCCTTACCAATAAACTGTCACATGGTACTTATATACTTATATGAGGCTTTCCATCTCAAAACCAGCATACTGTTTACTAATTGGTAAACTGAGTAATCGGCATAAGAATGTGGCAATATTGTATACTTTAGTACAGAGAAGATGTAATACTTTTACTCATAAATTTGGCAATAATAAGTTGATTCCAGCTGAGTAAATGACCCATCATTTTAAAACTTATAATGTGCAGAATAAGAATATATTAAGTCAATTTTCATTTAAGCCTCATATTTTTTAATAGATTATACATTGGTTGGTGATGAACAATTCAGTTTTCTTAATTGAATGTTTGAGAGTTTTTTTTTTACCAACAGGTTGTTTTTACCACAGACCCTGCTTCATAGAATATTGAATATGTTTCTTTTGTTTTTGATAGAATGCAGTGTTGCTAACCAATTACGATACTGCATAATTGACGTAGATATTCAACGAGCTAAACATTCCTGCCAAGCAATTAAAAATGAGACCTTTGCTGATTGCCATCCGGTTAGTTTATTGGATTGGATTTATTCGGTGTAAACACCAAGGATAGCCCACGAAAGTCTAGAAGAAGACTTATTTCCAGTGGGGTCCTTCTGGTGGTGATTGGGCAGTACACCGGGAGACAATCCCCTACT